TGAGGAAGAGTACGCGACGGTAATAAAATCCGATTACGAAGACAAATCGACAAAGGGTGTCAATACTTACATTATTGGCGGGTAATCGATTAGAATAAACGTCGTTCGCGCTCGCGGAACGTTCTCGCCGCTAATAACATAGACACGAAATCGCGAAATGGGATGCTGCGGAGAGGCACCCTGGTAGAGAACCTACGGCCCTGCCGTGGCATCCCCCGTATCGGAGTGAGGGTGCGCGCGGTCCAATCATCGTAGAATCCGGAGAAAGCCCCTGGCTTCACCCGGGCAGCCGTGGGAGAGACGCCCCGCAACTCGAGGATTCGCTTGTCGCCGAATATCTTGTCGAGTCGTAAAGGACAGTCGGCGGTACAGCGTTTGGTTTAGAGGGGCGTTGGCCCGCGTTGGGCTCTTTCGCTCTCTGTGCCCCCTGTGTGCCCCCCGAGAAAATCTCAGAGAAAAAAAATCCCGGGTTCCGTCTCGTCCAGACTTCTCTCTCGTCGTCCTGACCGAACTTAAACTGGGCGCGCGAGCCTCTATAGTGACAAAATCCATCAGATCAACCCCTTGGATAGAGAATCCGAGCGTGCGATAATGCCAAAATTCAGTCAGTGTTTATTTGTATTTTTTGCGAGCGGTTTAAGTGTCTCTCTCCTTTCTCTCTGTCTCTCTCTGTCTCTTCACCCACGAGAATTTGTATACAGTTTGTTCAATGATGTAATTATCTCTCTCTGTACGAGACACTCTCTCCGCCAAGAGCGAGCGTGTTATAAATGTGTGCCAAATGTGTATGGATGTGTGATGGTTGGTTTGCTCGTACAAATATGTTTTGCATCGTTATTTAATGCCGAATGTATGTTTACACGGTTTGCGCTAACGGAGATTGCGATCGTTCAATATTACGAATTATTTGCGCACGACAATTATTTTAGCATGATCGTTTTTAATCCAAACTCTCTTCTATCATCTTGTACCTGTAAGGTATATTGGTTGTGTACAAATATCGCATACATGTAACCACGTGTATATGTATATATTACGTATATAGTTCTATCTTCTATGATTCAAGCATGATTTCTACTGGCATGTTTCATGATTTTTCGTACGTTTAATGTGATACCTTTTTTCACAAATATCTCATATAATCTTTTAGTGTGATGATTTTAACTGTAACGACAAACGATTAGTAGTCCTGTTGCATCTATGTTTGTTATGACGCATATTTATATCTTGTACGTTTATGATATTTCAATAGAAAACAGTTTTCATAACAGTAAGAGTAGTTATTAGTTAGTGAAGTCACATATCAACCTCATATTAATTATAAAATTCATATATACCTCAGTTCTCCTTTTGCAAATTACATTTTCAATTGTTTCCGGTTTTTAGAACCACATATGCGTACTCCAATGGATTTCGGCAAGCATCTCTCAATATATATGAAACAATTGTAAAAAATCTCACAAAGTTTCTATATACAAACACGCAAAACATGTAAGTATTATTCGATCATTTTTGCCTGTATTATTCAAAGAGGATGATATCTCAGATATTGGCCCTCGAAAAATATTCATACAAACATGAAAACATGGCGGCACGTGAATGTCTCTGAATGCAAATATTGAAAAAAAAAAAACATTCAACGTATGTTTTACATTATTAACAAATACATAATATCGTGTTTTATTCAAAGAAAGAAAAAAATCCACGAGAATCGATCCGATACGACCACGGATAGAGAATCGCAGCGTAATGTCGGCCTAAATCAAGCATTAAAATCGCAGAAAGGTAATCACGTCAGGTAGGCGCTATTATAATTCACGGCTTCCTTTAACCATACTCCGGATGTGCATGCCGGGTCACGTCCTGTATCTCTCAGCGGAGATTTTCCGGCGTCACGTACGGTGGCGCGGCCAGAGCTTGACTTCTAATCTGCCGTGGCTTTAAATGGTCATGTCCATTACTCGCGTTTAAATCCCACTTCAATTGATTTAAAACTTTTTTTATCCCTCTTCCATCTGAATCCAAATGCTTTCTCTATCGAAAGGAAAAAAGAGATGCCTAGTTAGTGTATCGGATATCTGATCTGTTAAATTGTACTGCGCGAGATTATTTTTTAATCTGATTATTGTATATATATATATTATGATTTCTGAAAATTATACGAGGCAAGAAATCACATGTTTGTACAAAGCGAAATTGTACAAAACATTTTAATTAATTTTAATAAATATGATTGGTTAAGATATCGGAGGCAGCGTATTAAATGGTAAACATTTTGTTGCAGATTACAACTAAGTGGAAACCGCGCGAGAAAGGGGTTGCAAAGAATAGGCACATTCGTGATCTACCCTGTAGATCCGGGCTTTTGTAGAATGTAAATATCAGAAGCTCGACTCTACAGGTATCTTACGGATGACATGCCACGCGACTCTAGATTGCAATGAGTGATGCTGTACTTATGTAAACAATGCATAAACATCCGAGAATCTGCAGATTAGTTTAAATACCTGTTTTACTAAAATAGTTCAAAAGTTATAAATACAAAGAAAAATAATTATATTATATTAATCATATTATATTATAATTATAATACGTATAAATATAATTTTTATAATATAATATAATTATATCGTATAATAAATATTATATAATCGCGTATATTTTATCAGACTTTATGGAACTAGAGTTTTCTCCTTGCTATAAATGTAATGTAATATTATAAATTATAACTAAATAAAATATATAATGATAGATTGAAATTGTGATTCACTTTTGCATAATGTGTTATATTATAGTGTCATCACTGTTAGAATATGTCGATATATAACGATAATGTCAACATAAACTAATTCTATTAAGTACTTTACAAAATATTGAAATTGGTTATATATAATAAGAAAATTATAATATTTTGATAATCACATTATTGTTTGTATAGAATATTTTAGCTGTTTTTATTTATACAGAGTTAAATATTTCATCGGGTTTCAAAACACTTATTTATTTAGAAGTACACATCTTTTCATGTATCACCCACCTTTGTAAATCTTATACTTCTAAATAAAAAATGTTTTAAAACCTGATGAATTATTTATGCTAACCCTGTATTATTGTTCTTATATTATTTATTACTTATATTAAGAAGAATATATGATATGATAAATACGTATAATATGGATGTATCTTATTTATTAATTTCATTTTCAATATTAAAACTTTTTACTGCGACTTATAATTTGTTTTTCAATTTTAATTTTTGAAAAATTCATGAGACAAAGATATATGTGAAATTTCTAGACACTAAAATAAAAATAAATTTCAACGAAGAAGAAAACGTAATAACATCTCGTTGAACGTAATGAAACGTGTTTATCTCCTTAAAAATTATAGTTTAGATTTAATAACAAAAAACGAATCCTTTTCTTTAAAGCAGCCATCCCGATATTTTTCATTACAAGGTTCTTATCAAACTCTGTTCAGTACTGCCATCTGCATCTGTTTGGAATTATGTAGCCGTATCCATTTTACTGCCGTTAAAATCACTATACTACATTTATAAATTTTGAAGAAATAACGTCTCAAATATATGAACTACATTTACATTTTATTAGCTGCATATATTTTTTTCTATTCCATTATATATTATAATCATTAATATTATTATTTGAATATTTTGAAACATCCATTTATATATAAATATAATTATTTATTAAGAAAGAAAAAAAAGAGAAAAAATAATTTTTAATAAAATCAATTTTTCTTAAAACAATCAAAGAATGAAATAATTTTTTTAATTTAATCGATCTTATTTTATATATCATAATGTGTCAATAAATAATTTTTATTAAGTATAGTACAATAAAATATACAATTAAAATTATCAAAATTTTTTTTTATTTATTCTTGATCTACAATATATGAATATAATACAAATATGCATTAAAAATATATTACAAACAGTGATTTTACCGGCAGTGTCTAAATGGTTGCAGATGTATATCCCGCGAAAAACGTCGAGATAGCGTTCTTAGGTTTCTCTTCATCACTATTGAATACAATCTGCAAGATCAAATATATTTTTAACAAACAAAGCTGCAACAATCATATGCTATAAAGTAAATGTTAATTAATTATATAATTTGTGTATATATTTTAAAAACGTAAGGTAAGTATAAGAAAGTGTGTACAAGATTTCGAATTCTTCACTTCTCGATACCGCTTATTCGTGAAACTAGATGTCACTAAAATGTCTGGAAGAAAGTGTAGAAGCAATGCGTCGATATGTAAGCTATCGTTAGTAGAATTTGAAGAAAGCTTTGTCATTTTTTAAGTTTTTTGCAACTTTCGACATATTAAAATTACTTACTTTGAACAATGCAAATCGAAGGTCGGAGGCAATGTTTTTTATAATCACTTTTTTATATTATAAAGAAATATATTCTTGTACAAAATAAAAAATTAGAAGTTGCATAAAGTTATGCAAATATATAAAAAATTAATTAAAGCAAGAAAATAATAGAAGCTTAAAAATGTTAATAATTTCTGATATTATTATAAGATTATTATCATTTCTAAGTTACACAATTGTCACGTCAGTTCTTATTTTTTAATGATATTAAGATTGATAAAAATATCAAGAATATTTATTGTTAGTATACAAACGTGATAAATCTACATCTTAGTAAATCAGTCTTTTTGTTTTTATCATTAAAAATATTTTACTTATATTAAACCGTACAATTACACAGAGAAGTGATATTTATAAGATTTTTATCAAGTTTGATAATGTAGCAAAATTAATAGATTCACCAATAGATATTTAATTTATAAATAATTAATTCATAAATATTTAATAAATACATCCTCTATATGCATGTGATAATCTTTTATTTTATTACATATATTAATTTTATTATTAAGCATACTGAAAAATTAATTAAATTCATCAAGTTAATAAATTTACAGTATTGTTCTTCAACAACAATATGTATTGTTTCGAAAACAATGTTTTTCTAATAAGATTACTTCTTTCCTTGATATTTATTTATTTCGCGAGGAAATGTTTTTTGGCTCTAACATACAGAACTCGACATTCGCGCTAATTCTAAAAAAAGAGCATGCAATAGCGCGTGTGTGGATGAAAAGGCTAAACAGATCTCGAGGTATGGGAGGCACGATGTTTGATGGTGTGATAGCATGGTGGTACCTGGGGCGATGTGGTATTATATTATTGATCGTTCCACGAGCTCTGTCCCCATCAGCTGTCGTAATATCCGGCGTTCTCCTGGTACTACCGGGTTGCATGCTAACACAGTTGTCTAAAAAAAATCATTCGCGCTGAATTGCATTATACATACCTATATACGTACTTTACCCAATCTATATACATCAAGCCCAAATTTACTGCAGAATTTTTTTGAAGGAAAAAATTTATTAGAGAGCTGTTGGATGATAGAGATCGATGAATAGAAAATTACTATGCCTCTCAATGACGCATTAGTGGGTTAACGTGACTTCGCCATTATAAGCTGTCAACATATTCGAGGAGTAATCTATGATAATCATTTATTTTAGATCTTGAGACTTGAGAGTGAGAGGATCGATAAAGAGGAGGAAATCGAAGAGGAAAAAGAGACAAAGAAGAAGAAGAACAGAAAGAAAGGAAGAAAAAAGGGAAAAGGTATAAAAAGGAAGCGGGAGTGATAAAGAGTGGGAGAAAGGGTGTGTAGAATACAGTATAAAAGAGAGAAAGGGAGAAGGGAGAAAGCGACGAGAAAGAGGGTGGATATATAAACCTACCCTTCTTGGACACTTCAAAGTGCCTCTTCCAGTATTCCCAGCTATGCTCCACTTCTCATCTCCTTCCGGTTGGTCTACCATTCTGAAGGTATAATATCCTGCTATCCTGAAACCTTAACGTGGCTTGAACTCTTAGTGTCGTCGTCCTCTAGACTCTCTCAGTGCTCTCCTTTCTCTCTCTCTTTCTCTCTCGTCTCTCTCTCGACATCTCTCTGCGTTCCTCTTTCTCTTCAGGATCTCGGCTCAAGTCTTCAACGTGTTACTAATACCATGAGGATTAATGTTATGCGCCGTGTAGCTTACTCTAACTATTAATTTAATTAGGAGAACAATACCTTATACACTGATATTATTAGATAGAGATATTTTTGAATTCTCTCTTAGAATGAAGATGCTTTTATTTTAATCGAAAATAAATTAGATTAAAACAGAGAAATTGGAAAACAATGGTTTCGATAAATGTGCATTTAAGCTTTTTATCTAATAATCTAATCTATAGAGAATTATTTTCGCACATTGCTTATAAAGTACTTGGACAACTTTTTAGTAATTATAAATTGTAGTTATTGATATTAATTATACTTTTTATAGAAAAAAATGTTAAACACATTTTTATCAAAACACAGTTTTTACGTGTGCGTGCCATTATTCGTTAATTACTGTCTACAAATAAAATAATTTTTAAGATATGCTGACTTTATACGGAAGTGCATAAAATTTGTACATAAAATAATTGCATCATTTGCAAAAGAACAAAAAATGATTAGCATGGGTGTCGGTGTGAACCATGGTGAAAAAGCGAGTTAAACTGCTTTCACTTCGCGTTTTAAATGCATCTTTAGCCCAAAATCAGTATAATTAAAGATTACTACAGCTCGCGATAACATCCAACCGCAGCTCACCCGGTTTGACTGACGATCTTTCAGACGGCGCTGCAGGAGCACGCTATTCGCAAGCGCCGAGTGATATTTATCTCCAAGTAATTAGGAGTTGGGCCGTGTGTGTGGAATCACGCATGCTCATCCTTCACCGTGGCAAACGCCCGTTGCCCTGCATGTTCCATGCATAAGACCGAAAGCAATGATTATTTAGTTTCATCCTATTATCGAGAGTATCTTCGTATATCTGTAAGAAGATCGCAATTTTTTTCCGCATTACGCGTAGCAAGTCCGACATTGCGAATGAAAGTTATACCGTGAAATAATTTTCAGCAGACCGCTGTTTCTTTTTTTCTACCCGTATATATTTAAAACATTTTTTTTCAATTCATATATCTTTTCAGATTAACAACACGTTTTGCATATATATGTCTAAATAAGCGCGAAAAATTTTAGATCATTCTTTTTTGAATTATGTTTTTTCCTCAAATATATTTTTCACTAATAAAAAGGATATTTATTAATATCTTTTTTAGAAAAAATAGAAACTTAATATTTTTATCTCCCTCTTTAGAAAATGTAACTTCACGGGGAGGGATATAATAAGAGTATACGTTTATATAAGAAACTCCCCTTAATTTTCGACAAAGAATCATCCCCTAAAATATTTCGCACTCATTTAGATTTTCAAATTGTAATATTTCTCTCGATAAATAATGTTATTACATACTAGTAGTTACAAGGGAGGAGAAGGGCACTTTTTCTACGAAGAAATAAAGAAAAGGAGTGCCCTCCATCAACTTTCACGTTCCGTCACGGCAATTTGCAAAGTACCTGCACGTGCAAATAAATCTTTCTGCAACGGGAGCACGAAGGCATGCCAGTGACTTATTTATGACCGTCTACTGTCGGGCAAGGGGTTAGCGAAACAATGCCTAAACTGACAGCATTTGGACACGGGAGTTCGAAGATCGTATTGCGTAAGAAAGTTAGTCTGTCACTTTCGCAAGTTTTTCGCATATGACAACGAACAATGAAGATTCGCAGCAGACTGCAGGCTCGAAAGTTCATGTGTTCCTTTGTTTAGCGCACACATGCGATGAGATAACGCTCATGCAATGTCATTTAAAAATACTAGTGTTAATTAACGAATCCAATTATGAAAAGGATCTTTAGACACCTGCACAAGGACAATTCCAGCACTCCAATCTTCACGTTACGTCGTTCTGGGAAAAGCAATCTCCTTTAAAACCATCGTTTTCCGATTTATCGCGGGTATATACGCGTTCGTCGCGTGTAATGACAGGCTTCGAACACGTATATAGGGAATATAATCTCAGTATCATCCGGCGTTCACGCGTGCGCGATAATGTCTCGCGCAATATTATTCACGCGCCCGGTTCTTGCGGGCGACGATAATGGTAATCGTCCTGTCTCCGTGTCGTCCGCGGAGGCTGGCTGCTCTCGGTCTTCAGCGTGATCAGAAGAGCGGGAGCATCCTGGCCCTCCCCTTAGTAGCCCCATACCATGCCGTATACCCTTAGTAAGGTACCCCTGGCGGCGTGGTGCTAGCCGTGACACGAGAACGTGATTAATGATAGCTACGAAGAGCCATGCAGCGTACCGCTCTTTCTCCCTTCGTCCTTCTGCCTCTCTGTTTCCCCATCTCTCCCTCTCTCTTTTCTCCTCTTTTCCGCCTCTTTCTTCGCGAGATCGTCTCACTCTTTCTCTGCTCCTCTCTCTCTCTTTCAGCAACCCCTGGTGATGCTGGCGGCATTGCTGCCGTTGCCGCTGCAACCGCCCGAACACAATACCACGTCTGCGATTGGACTCTTGTTGGTAACTTTCTTCGTCCTTTCTTCTTTCACTAGTGAGAGCCCAAGCGCTGTTGATTATTCCATGGATTGCACATGTGCGTGTGTGTGTATGTGTGTGTGTTGGTGTGCGTTACAGCCTAACCCAGTTTTCGTTCTTCAAAAAGTTTTCGAAATAAGGTAGGCTGCAGTAGGCGACCTACCGAGAAAATCAATTGGCTTTCTGTTAATGCTTAGAGAAAAAGGTTAATAATGAAATGTCACAAGAAGAAGAAAAATGACATTCGTCAGTCTACACAATATAAAAGGAAATGTCAAAAACTGTTTTCTTTAAAAGTGAAATGGTCAGTGTTTTATTTCTGGACGACAATTAATTGTTGTTACATCATTCTGTGAAATTTGATTTCAAGAGATATACATATTTCACTTTGACATTTAATATATATTTAAAAAAAAAATTATATAACAAAGAATGTTTTTTTATGAAAAGATTTGGAGTCGGATGAGACATTTTTGTCTCTATATATGCGTTCGCAGATTGCATGAAATAAAGATGTCCACGAAAGAATTTTGCAGGAAAATGAGAATATCATAAGACTCGACCAAGAAATCAGTCAATCTTTGATCGGTCTAGGATGACTTTGAATCTGTCCATGTACTTCCTGCCAATTTACTCCGAACACATCTTTATTTTATAATAGAAAGATTCACATACATACACATATGTTTTCTTATCCAACTTATGTGTATATCATATCGAAATAAAAATAAATATGCTTTGTGTGGAAAAAAACTTTACAAAATATCAAAGAATCTCTCAATTAAATTCCATAAATATCTCTCCATCGTTAAATGATATAATCATTGATTCTTGATATCTTTTGTTTTTTCATATTTAGTGAACTACACGTGGCCGCTCGCTTTTTTTGATATCTATGCATTTGCTCAATAATTCTGTTGACTAATGGCTATGATAACGTTCCTTGATGGCAGACTAAAGGTGACAAGTCGCAAAAGTAAGAAATTTGTTTTCCAATCAATTCACGCCACAAAACATATTATCGTGTGAACGTTATCATATTTATATAAAAATTCTTAAAGAATTATATTTCGAAAATTCTGTGGTAGTTCGCGAGAAAACAAAATTAATACAAAATCTCTTTAAAAAAGGAGAAAAATAAGATTTCTTTTTAAAATAGGAACGATATATTTAATTCGACCCAAACTAGCCAAGAAAATTTTTATTTTATTTCCACAACGTTTCGACCATCTGTTTTTGGTCCTTTTCAAGTGAAAAACTAGAATGGCACAATTAATTAAAATTAATAAACATTTTTGATGTTAAACGCAATTTTTCATTCTTGCGTTTAACATCAAAAATGTTTAATATATTTAATTTTAATATTATTATTGAATTAAATATATCGTTTCTATTTTAAATACCACTAGCGACGTTTTAAGTATTCAATTTGATTTCTTTTTAAATAAAAGCATTATCTATTGATTGTTAAAATTATTTTCCCGATCGCGTTCTTATTCGCATATATATGCATAATTTTCTTCAACTTGAAAATCAATCGATCCGTCGCGTCGATTGCGCGAATCGGGTTGCAAGAGCAGCAACAGACCGATAACAGTATCCAATTGTATCCCGACGAGAGATAGGGCATCGTCCCGATATTAACCCCCGAGCACACACGGTGGAGCTCCCCGCGGAAATCAGCGGCGCCCCCGATGTCAGCCGCGAGGCGAGCGGGTTCGCTGAAATTTCCGGCGTATTGTCGGCGAGTTCGGTTCAGGGTTGGATGATGCCGAACCACCACTCACTCGCCGCCGTCGGTCCCCGCATCGGGTGAATAGAGCGCGGGAGGAAGACGGGGGTGAAAATGGGGGAAGATAGCGGAGCGATCGCGCCGGACCCACAGACAGAATTGGAACGGAGGGGTTGCGAGTCTGATGATGGGATGGCGACTCTCTCTCTCTCTCTCTCTCTCTCTTGTCTGTCCCCGGCGACGCCGGGACGCCGACAACGTGCCGTCGTTCCTCTTTCCTCTCTTCCTCATCCCTCTTCGACCCAACATCCTTTCGACTCTATTTCCGCATTTTGTTTGACGCGACCGGGATTAAAAGCCTCGCTCTCTTCCTCTTCGTGTATATGTGTATGTATGATGTTTATGACGCTAGCGCGTTCTTCACGGTATTAAGATGCCGCTCTGCCGAGAACACGATATTCTTTTTATTTGTCTCATGAAATTTCGATTCTTTATGAATATGTTAAAATGAAAAAATAATTAAAGAATTTAGAAATTTCGCCCGCTAGTTGTTCCGAGTTTTATTCCATCTTGAAGTAAAAAGAGTGGCTATGAACACATAGCTGTAATTAATTGAATTGAATGAAATCAAATTTGAAGTGTCATTTTTAGTTTAATGGAAATAAGTTTTTAAAAATTTAAATTTAAAGATATAAGACAGGCAGTAAGAGCCAACTCGCGGATGACAGTGCGTTATCCTAACGAAACTAAATTTTTCGTTAGGATTAAGTATCTGTGCACAAGGCACCAAATTTTACTTGGTCACGGCCAAGATTTAAAATATGAAATAATCTCATATTTGAGATTTAATTTCAATAACCCTTTCACCCCCCTACGGAAATAAGTAAATGCAAGAGAAAAATATAGATCCGAAAGTCGCTGAATCGGGAATCGAACCCGAGACCTTTCGCTAAATATTTATTATATTCATATTTTAAATCTTGGCCGTGACCAAGTAAAATTTGGTGCCTTGTGCACAGATACTTAATCCTAACGAAAAATTTAGTTTCGTTAGGATAACGCACTGTCATCCGCGAGTTGGCTCTTACTGCCTGTCTTATATCTTTAAATTTATATTTATATTACAGAGTTAAAACTCTTAGTTTTTAACCTTGTTAACCTTGTTAAAACTCTTAGTTTTTAAAAATTGTCTAGAATAATAAAAAATAATAATCCGTAATAATTAGAAAATAATAAAAGACAAATAATATATCTATGAAAAAGCTTATATACATATACATATTAATCTTGTACTTTTTTATAAAACATATTAATATAAGATTAAAACCTTAGCAAATTACTTTTTCTGCTCCGAAAATAGATTATTAAATATATAAGCTTTTTCATATAAATTTTGATTTATTTTAATTCAATTAATTACGAATATTTCTCTATAGGTATTTTTTAATTTAAAAATCGATCAAGTATAAGCAGAAAATTCTAGCTGGCAACTCCCGCGCAAAATTATTAAATTTCTTAATTATTTAAAACGGAACTAGAGAGTGCCGACGGTAGAACACAGAATAATTTAAGGAGCAAGAAAGGTTTAAATATATATTTCGAGGGCCGCCTTTGAAAAAAGCTTCCTTTTACATGCCGTGCAAAGGTGTTATCGTTGCTGTCCGTCCATCAGAGTCCATCCCTCCTGGCAATATTAGCGCTGCCACCGGTGGTGGCTGGCTGGTTACTTTTAGTCAGGGGGATGAAATACTTGATGATATTAAACATGAATAATGTAACGACTCGGCTACGAAGGCGCAGAATAGCGAGTACGATAAGACCTTGTAGAATGTTGCATACGTAAGATGGTATAATATGAGTATTTTGGTTTAGCACATCGACATTTTATAAGCAGCTGTTAATGCAATTGTAAAATATTAAAGATTCGCGAAAACAATATGTTTTTAATACGAAGCTCCGAAACTTGCATGCGTTACATTGGCAGAGGCAAAAAGGATGCCTCAAAAAATTTATTAAAGTGTGAAATAACGAATCAAAAATAGATTGTCCCAAAATTATCTGGATACTCTTTACCCACAATATTTGTAAGGGTGTAGAGAGTCTCGAAAAATTATAATTTTAACGAATACATATTTCAAAGCACGATCGTTCTTCAATATATAATTCTAAAGTGTTTCTTTACTAGAATGAGGTAATATTTAGAAAATTATTATATTAATCATATTTAAAAATACGATTATTAAGAGATTAAATAGAAAAAAATTGAGAATAGAGAAAAGATATACGATTTTGTTGAAAGACAATGATATAATGACGAAAGAAGTACTAAAAAATATTGATATGCATAGCAAATATTTTTTTCTTCTAAAACGACGTAGGAATTAATTTATAAGTTCATGAAATAGAAGAATCATCATAGTGTAAACGTCAAACAATCTGACATTTAATTTACTGTCACTTTGTATCTCTTACTTAAGTAGTAGCGATGCAATAGGTTATTCAAAACAAGGGGGTGCAGAAGGCAGAAAAAAAATCTGTGTCGGATGACTTTGCTCTTTCGTAAGCGAAGCAGAGTGACTAAGTGTGAATTCAATTAAGGGTCTGTTTTAAGCGTCTATCAGGCTCTGTTTACGGACTCGTTCGTTATCCGTATAACAAGATAAAATTGACAATTTAAGGGGAATCGATCGATCTACAAGGGCTTCCTAATCGAAACTTAGTTTGATTATTACACAGAATGAATTTATTTACTTTACTTGCACTACTATTTTCTGTAATATTTATGGAAAATGTATTCGTCTACTACACAAAAATTAAGATATTAATAATTTATATTTTTATAGATTTATTTTTATAGAAAACACATAGGCTAAATTCGGTAATTTCGACGAAAAATAAAATGACTTTTCTGACTGTTTTTGTCGAGCATCTTGATAAGCATAGAAAATTAAAAAAAACATTAAAATAATAAGATGATAAGAGAATATTGATTTTACAATTGTTGTAATGCTGTCTAATTTTGTGTTATGACGATGACAGGATGTCGAATAATTTAAAGCAAATTTCAAAAGCATTCTTATTAATTGTATACAAAATTCTAATTGATAAAATTTGTAAAAAATATATTTTATTGTATTTTTTAGAATTTATTATGACAAAAATGAATTATTAATTTCCATTGAACTAATTACTTTTTTCTGAATTTTGCTTGTTTCCAAGTATATAATTCGTACATGATAAAATATATTAATTATATTAAATAAAGTATATTAATTACACACATATTAAGAGAACTGAAATAAACATATATATTAAAATTAAATAAAATATTTGTGGAAGATTCGAGGATGCTTTAGAAATGCCTCAAGTTTTTTGTCAAATTTTCATGTCAAATAATATGCATTTATCCGTCAATTGAGGCATATTTTTGAATGACTTCATTTCAGTTCACCGTGAATAATTGTAACTCGTGACTTACATTGTCGATGCGTTGTACTTCAAACACGTTATCACAAAAGGGCAAGATGAGTGGGATGAAAAAAGAGCAGCTGTGAATAGGACCCCGAAATGGCGATTCTCTGCGCGTCACAAAATACGCGGCGTTCCTTTTGATCCGACGACTTCGTGAGTCGATTTCAGTGACCCTGTGAGTCATTTATTAACGAGCATGATTGAACGAAGAAATTTAATTTCGCAGTAAAATAAACATTAATTTAGAGTGTCCAATCAACGCAAGACACTTCATCGTTACGCGAGTGTATAGTCATCTACTGAACTAAAATTAAACATATATAATGAAATTTATATATGCGCGCGCGCAAATCAATATTTATTATATATTACTGTATATATGCGTATGTACCAAACTGCCATCATAGAAGTTCAGATAAATAGCCTTCCTTTTCTGTCCACGAAATACACAGGACACGTCTCTGCAGGATTATAGGATTAATTACATGAAGGGCGTTAATACCCAATTCGACTAGCGTTGAAGAGGGATGCTTATAGCGGACTAAAGCAATGATATTAGCGGTCACTTAACAGTTGCCACAACAGCTTTAGGAAATTTACCACGTAAATCATTTTTTTTCATTATTTTGTGTGGCCAACTAACTGTTAAACTAAAAATTGAACAATTAATTATTTAATTATATATACAATGTCGAAAAACATTGTTACAATAATTCATCTATTTGGCAGTCAAGTAAATATTCAACATAACATATATTATTGTATGGAATCTGATCGATTTTCATACGCAAATTTTTTGATCGCCGCCGCAGTTCATATAGTCTGCTATCAAGCAGGATGGAAGCTCATTGCTATTCTACGAGTAGATCCTGCAGAGCATTATGGTAGTCGCAGTTGGGGCTCTACTAAATTGAAAACAAGATCCATCACGTTTTCAAAGAAGCAAAAAAATTTTAATGAAATATAAGCAGCGAATAGGATAGAAACACAGAGAGAAAGCTTAGTTATGAGAAACCTATTAATAACTAAATTATTTAATAAATCCACCCTATATATTCTGTAAATCAAAACAAAATATTCTAACATTTTTCTATATCTAAACACGAGAAAGTGTCGTATTAAAGCATTTCTAAAGAAATATTTATAAAATTTAAATATTTTACTTGCACCTGTCAAACAAACTAATTAAAGGGGAACAAAAGTTCCAACAATTTATCAAAAATAATAATAGCAAATTTTTCGTCGGGGTATTAATTATAAACAAAATTAATACAGTTATCAAAGCATTAATTTTCATATATGCAGTACAATTAACCGATTACGAGAACAGTTGGGAAGACATCGACAAACGTCCGTGAGCCTGAATCTGGTTTTACAGTTCCGAGAATCTCAGAGAGATAGATACTCTCTGGGATGGATGAAATTGGTCAGCTCGCGTGTGTGGACGGGAATTAAAAGCTTCGGGCGGTTCTCTCTCGCCGTGCTGTCGATCCGTTCCGGGGGTTTCCTCGCTCTTAACTTTCGGGTGAACCGACTCGAAGGCAGGGTCCTGCAGGAAAGACCTCGAGGAGCGTGCAGAAGAAAAAGGAGCTGAGGGACACACGGAGGACGAGGTGGCCAGGGGAGGAGAAGGGGGTGAAAGGGGGGGTTTGGGGGAGGAAGAGAGGTTGAAGGAGAAGGTGGAGGCGATGGTACTAGGGGACTTGATGAGAAGGGGTGGTAGGAGAGGGTTTCCGAAACAGCTCGCCGCTATCTCGACTGATCCGATCAAGATTAATGAACGTGCGGCTTGCGAGTCGAAGCCTTTGCGCCGCCCAGTCTGTCGTTCTCATTCTCTATTTCTCTTCCCTCTCCCTCCCCCTCGACCCCCTCCACCCCTTCTCTCTCTCTCCTTTCGTCTCGCTCTCTTTCTCTCTTTTCCTCCTCCGTATACAGAGGTAGCGGACTAGCGACAGGTACCGTCGACGGCTTCTCGTAATAGTGGCACCACTTTCGTGGTGCTTGTTGTTGGTGCGCGCAACCTTTAGGTAGCATTATCTCACACGAAGGAGCCGATGATACGCTCGCGAAAGATGACGGCGACGAAACAGAAATTGCACGATTATTCGAGGTTAAGCAAAGAGTATGCACCCTTTAATTCGGTAATCAAATCTTGAACCCCATCAATGGAATGATCGCGCATTAAATATCATTTACAAACATCTTGCTGCTGCGTATACGTAATACGCTCGGTAAAATATTCACGAGGCGTTGCGTGTAACGAAAATTAACGGTACGAGATATACGACATTGTGAAGCTGGAGCTCTGGCATGTATAAGATTATCTCTGTAGTGGAACGTGATGACAGTAACACAGCACCCTTTCTCCCTTTATATCCAGCTACTCGGAGGTAGATCATGTCACCGGGACTAGCCGTAGATAAAAATACATGTCTCCTCTGGTCCGGATGGTTTTAATTAATTCTACAGACGGACGTGGCCGCCCAGCTTTTCGAGAGAAAGAGAAAGACTCCCGTTCAATCATTGGCGCGTGTCATCGGACTGCTACTGTTCTACAGTAGTGTCGGGACGCGGCCGATTTATTATATCCACTTTCTCAAAATCAAAATAAACCCTTAAGAGGGAAACTCCTCTCGAACTTCATCCCTTTTGCGATCTTCGTTCAACGGAAGCGGCAATTAATAGCGGCCCCGGAGATCAAACATTTCCGCGCTACGTCTGTACGGTGGATTTAAATCTAATTTCGCGTCGGTTCCCTTCGATGACACGGCGGTACCTGTTATCTTTAGTTACAGGCGAATGTGTAATTTGAGATGCGAAACTGTCTTTGGGGGATGTCAGTCAGTCGGCGGAGAGAGATCCGAGCGGAAAGCGATGCGGCGAGAGACGACGAGGGTGGATTGTTCGGTGGAGGTTCGAGAAAGGGGGAGAGGTTCGGAGATGCTTTGTAATTACGGTGGCTGATAAATGGAGTCGTGACTCGTTAATCCCCTCCAATTACATCTGATGGGGACCGTTCACACCGGATCTATCTTGCATCGCTTTTCGAATTTTCAGATATATTATTGCGAAGTATCATTTTATCGAACGTTCGACTTTCGATACATTCGGTCATCATTTTCAACAGCACAATTATTGTATATGTATATCACAGATTAAAATAAGGCTGGAAGCCAAAGCCCGTTATTGTGGTCAAAAATATTATTTATTACTTAATAAAGTATTTTTAACTTCGACTCCCAGCCCTTATTTTAATGTGATTTATTCATCTTGCGAGCCTTTTGATTTAATATTATATATATCTTTTTCCTTGGATTTGTAGATTCTTAATTTTGCTTGACATTAATAATAAAACTAATCAGAATTAGCTGTCTACGCATATTTTAATCATTTTCTTTTATCAACATAAGTTTGATTTTACATGCTACAATTTTTAAAAGAGAACAAAGAGAAAGGGGTGGACAGAATAATAATTATACGAACTGTAAATAATAATGCAAATAATATACAAAGTACTTACAGTGTATCTTTCGTAGTTTTTATATGTAGCAACTCGTTCTTCGCTGTCTCGATTTTCGACTCTCCAGTCCTCTTCAGACGAAGGTTGACGATTAACTGAATAAAATTCGAAGCTTTCTCGCAGAGTATAAACAGACCTCACTCTAGTTCAGTGGCCTCGTATCGACGAGTGTTGTAAACAAATAGTGTTTATGTTCGCACGCGTTAATAATGTATCGCCACCAGATTTTGTCTTGTCTGAATTTAAATTCGCATTGTACACAGTAAACTTTTCAATGATGCAAAGATATTCCCGAGCCGAGCATATTTTAAACTAAATTTAAATATTTTTTTACTGTATTATGTGAAGCTATAGTTTAATCCCTGATTATGAGATTAGGTTTATAGTATGTCGGTTTATAATCTAAAATTATTTTTACATTATTTTTGTCAATCAAAGTCACGATTAATTTGTCTGATATATGATAAATAATGATTGAATGCTGAGATGTATATCAAATATATATCTTATGTTCACATTCTTGTCAACAAACGTTTTGTCTTCCATATGCTGCATGCTTTACAGAGAACAATTTATGTAAATTGTTGCAAGAATTACTTTAAATGTTATTTAATTATTTAATCATTTATTTCTTTCAATTTTATATCGCACGTAGACATTGATATTTGACAGCTCGTATTAATCTTGATTATTTAATGTATCATTTAATTTTATATTTCATATAACGCGCGCATTATGTGTTTGCGCCGAATACAAGGTGTGTGGTCGTGAAACGACAAAACTTTAACGATAATAAGGGACATGAGCTCGTGCGAAATTCTTGTTGTCTGTCTCTACAACTCGCTAAACGAGCAATTCAAATGACTACCCACTTCACGTTCAGCGCCGTACAGGTTGTAGATCGGAGCGATTATGATGCGGATATAGACGAAATGACCAGCATATATATGCATCATTTGTCTTAAGAACGAATATATGGAACGCGTAGGTGTCATACAACCGCGAACAAAAAACAGGTCCGGAAATGCATCATAATAAGTATCTGTGTACAGAGATGTGTTCACGCGCAAATATATGGTAATTTAAATATATAGAGATGTGAAGAGAGAGTCGAAAATATATTTTTCTCTCGATATTTGGAATTTCGATAGGAGGAATAGAATCAAGAAAAATCAGAACCATATTAGTGCGTGAATATTTATATCACAAATGAATGTTTCGATAATAGTTGTTATCTCAATATGATTGTTATCGTAACAATCATTTGTGACATAAATATTTATGCATTAACAATTGTGTTCCGGTTTTTTTGCTAGGAAGCGCAGTCTAAATAATTGATGAATCATATTTGAGAAGATATTTTCCTGTTTTTTATTTAAATATTTAAATCGTAAAAAATATTTATTGTCCCCTAAAAATGTTTGCCTTGTTTAAACAAAAAATTTAAATCTTTTGTAAATTATTAAACAACTATACTGTAGCCTTTATTATTTATTTATTATTTAAGACACTATAAATTAATTTACATATTTGATAGAATAAATAAATTTGATAGTATATAATTTTCTTTACAAAACAAACAATATAGCTATTTATTATAATAATTTTCTGTTGCAATAAAGTCCTAGTATAATAAAAAAAACTTTATATAATTTTTTCCTGTTTTATTTGAATCTTTTCTGTCTCTATAACTCATTAAACAAATAACTTCTATTTTTATTTCTAATGCAAATATTGATCACAAGTTGCAATCAATTTTGTATTATTATCTCGTTCTACTTTGAAGTAATAGACCAACCAAAATGTCTACAATAATTTCCAACTAATCCACATCCGAGAGAAGTTAGCGAAGGTGTTTAGCATCAAAACTTATGGTTTATCTACTCACGGACAACAAGCAGACAGTACATAGATCTTGCAATTAGCGGCTCTCTTGTGTACTTCCTTCCTACTCGCTTGGGAGCTTGCTATTAATCGTATCGCGTCTTGCGTTGGATAGAATACATGTATTTTAGAATCAAAATCTAGAGTATACATCATGTGATTGAAATTATATTTTTTATATTGTATACTAAAAATATTTTCCATCGAATTGCTGTAAATGAAAAATTGCATATCTATTATATCCAGAGATAACAGTTAAAAATCATACTTATTGTAATTAAACTCCGTATTAACAATATTATTTTATCATCTTGAGTCATTAATTATGAGAATGATGAATTTTTTAAATCAAAGTTTTCATCAAAATTATTTAAAATAATTTTCAAAATAATAGATTTTTTAAATCTTAAACTTCATATATAAATAATTAACCAAAACTATATTTTCTTTAATTTTAAATAAACAGTCTTTCTTCATAATTGATACAGGTTCATTAATAAATATATAAGTAAGTAATAAGCATATTTTGCTGGGATATACTTTTCTGTATATTATACATACCATAATATGGGGGTGCTATTATTTTTCGCTAGCCAGTTACTTCTCTCTTTATTACCTTACTTTTTTATCTTTTAATCTCTCAGAAAATTGATGGATACTCTTTTCATTACTCAAAAAGCGAAAAATGAAAAGCAATGGGGATTATCTAGTTATCAAGAGCGATCAGAAAGATTAGTTATCTCCTATTATCGTTAGACTTTTGCGAGAGAGTCGGACTTGTCAAAGTAGATATAAAAGATACGAAGATGTGACAAGCGTATAAGATGCGTATGTACATACATACAGAGATTAAGTATTATCAATATCTTCTTCCACCCCAAAACATCCCCTGGTACGTATGATACGAGTAGCGACCTTGGTTCACGCGTTCATAACATGTCTGCTGACTTTTGGAACCCTGTTGGTAGCAACATATCTAGGCAGTTGGCCTGGGATGTTGGCGGCATGGGCGGAGGCAGGACTTGCACAGGAAGCCCCCCATTCGCTTTCCGGGTGCCACCCTTCTTTTCGAGGTGCTATGGAGCTATATCCCTTGCCCAGGGCTGCGGCAATCACGCACACTCTGGCGCATGCGTTGATACGGCAACATCGCACGCATGGGCGCCCATACGATTACATATAGAAAAGAGGGGATGCGAGAAACAGTAAATACCTGTGATACACCATAATGCTCCTGTGATACCTGTAAATTATGATACCATGTGCGTTTCGAGACTGCTTATTTTTCTATTAAGCAAAAGTGTGGCATCCACTATGATATTTCCGTCTGTCTGTTATCTCGCAACTTGCGTTTTTTCTTCCGTCATCATTGTTGTCAACTGTAGAGGGCGTAAAAGAAATTGATAAGCTATGTATCAAGATTAAAATAAGTGGTAAGAAATATTTGCTTCAACTTAAATATTAAACAATATTAAGAATAATAAGTCGGCTCTTTGAAATAAATACATAACTATCATACACCTCCATCTCGGCCAATAGACCCAAACGCGATGTTATTGCGAAAATTAAAAAACTTCGAAATTCGTATCTTATGGTTAAGATCTCAAAATTCCCCTTGTTCTTTTACTTTAACCTGTAAAGAAATAGGCAAGAAAAATATTGGTCCAAAAGTCGGCTGAATCGGGAATCGAACCCGAGACCTTTCGCTTGCCGGGTGACTGCTCTTCTAACTAAGTTTCTTAATTTTCGCAATAACATCGCGTTTGGCTCTATTGACCGAGATGGAGATGTGTGATATTATGTATTTATTTCAAAGAACCGACTTAATATTCTTAATATTGTTTCTTTGCGTCTCGGCCTAATTACGACGCTTTGGGGTGAACGCATTGAGAAAACTATTGTTTCGTAAGTGTTGGAAGAGCAGTCGCATGGCAAGCGAAAGGTCTTGGGTTCGATTCCCGATGCAGCCGACTTTCGGATCAATATTTTTCTCGCCTATTTGTTTACAGGGGAGGGGGATTAAAAGAGGAACAAGGGGAATTTTGAGATCTCAACCATAAGATACGAATTCCTAAGATTCTTAATTTTCACAATAACATCGCGTTTGGCTCTGTTGGCCGAGATGGAGGTGTATATTATGTATAAATATTAAATTTGTGCAAGAAATAAGAATTTGTGTTTTTTTATGTGAGATTGTTTATAAAATTTAAATAGATATACATATAAATATAATAATATAAACAGATAATATCTATGGCTCTTTTTATAATTGCTGAATATCTTTTTAAACAAACTTGTTATTACATTTACGAAAAAGATGTCTGTTATATAATTTACTTATTATTTTAAACCTGTTTTGTATCCAGTGTTGCTCTCGTTTTTAGTGCAGCTCTTATCAAAACCGAACAGAATGGGAACGATACTTTGCGAACATAACGTAATGCGAATATACCTAAGAAAGAGATAGTGTCAAAACTTAAGATAACAAGTTACCCTAGCCTTGGCTGATTAACGGTGTTTCCTGACAGAATAATAAATAGTGTAAAAGATTATGAAAAATATGAAAGCGAGGAAACTATCGCCCCTATGTATACGCGCACGCATACGCATATATATTTATAAAAAGAAAAAGTTGCGCGGAAAAATGGACGAGATTAAATGAGTATAGGAATAATACACATACAATTTGGAAACACATTTGGTATTATTGTAAATTATGAAACATTTATTTATTCATTTATTTACTTGACGGTTGTATAGTTTTCATCGATCCTTACGATCAATATAAACATAAGCAGTTGAAGTGTGCCCGATGACATTTTTCTTATCGTACATGCTATATACATTGAATAATTATAGCAAAGGGGTATAATGTCACAATGTTATAGAACAATCTCGAAACTCATACACTTATTTTCTTACGTCCTTTTCGCTAATTACACTCTAACTCGATTCTTTAGAATTAAAATACCTTAAGGGGTTTAACTCTGCTTCTTACATCTAATAATATTGTTTTGGTATATCGTCACAGCGGTTCTGTGCATTAATTGTTTGATTACTACTCACTTAAATCGTACAACTTCTGATTTACGTTACGTGCAATTGTGTCCTAATTATTATTGGTCATTCCTCATTTCTTTTCGGTAAAAATATATATACTATCATTTCGAATTATTTACAACGTATCTTACGGAAGGATGCTTTCAAATACGATAGCTTTAATTATATCTCTATTATTTTTAAGAGTGTTTGAAGAGATCTGGAAATATATTTTCCTTTTCGACAATCAAACTGTTCCAGGTGAGCGTAATAACTTTTTTAAAATGCGTAAGAATATATAAGACACATAATATATATTTTAAAATTATGTTTAAAATATTAAAGATTTACTGAGAGAGAGAAAGATTACTGACATTATTAACAAACACTCTGTAATCATACTATAACGACCAAAGTTTTCACCTGAAAATTCAAATTTTTTTTATTTATGTTGACACGTCTTGTGGAAACGTTAATACCAACACTTATACGAAATATAAACACTATTTCTATATCGTGTTGCGATAAAACTTTTTTTACACTAATATATACATACATAAAACTTATACTAAGCTATATATACAATTTTCATTTTATAAAATACCAATTTCTCTTTAAATGTTGGTATTATTATGCGAACAATAAAAGAACGAATAATTAATTAATGTTTTGAATTAGAAATTTTGACGAGATAATGTATCTTTCAGACATATAAAGACACGAAATTACGCAAAAGCATTTAAGAAGAAGAATTTATTTACGAATATAATTAAATCAGCAATGTATGAAACAAATTTACATTAGAAATTAAGAGCTTTTCTTACACTTGATCTTACCATTGCACTCATATGCATTTTTTATTTGTCCGATTTTTAATCTATCAGATAAAGATATATACTCAAGACTATGTCTCAAAGATATATACTCTAATCCTTCACAATACATGTGCTTTTTCATCATATATTATAGTAACGGATTCATACACATATACCTTATTACATGAAGTTAAATACACATTTGATGCTTATTCGAGACATACAGATCATGTATAGAGATGTGCATTAAGACTTAGAACTGTTTAACAGCTGTAAGTGCTTGACATTTGTGGTTGAATATAAGATCAGAAGATAAATATAGAAATTTTTATATTTATCTCTTATATACGACATTTTATTTTTAATGTAATATTATTATATATAAAATATTAAATTAAACAATAAAAAATTAATTTGACGAGCAGTCGCATGTCTGAACGCGATGTGTATGCTCTAAGTATGCTTTGTTGTATTTACTTTGATGCTATAAGGTATAAATGTTGCATTTTCTGTGCATATGATGCAATTGGAATTAGTATATCAGAAAATTCAAGTCACAAGAGATCAGAAATCTTTGATCAGACTTTAAAATGATTAATAATATTTGACTAATAATATTTGAACTTGCAATAATTTAAAGGATTTTATAATTTGGTCATAATTAGTAAAAGAAATGTTAATAAATAATAACGGGATTTGTCATACAATTATTGAAATGTTCACACTTAATTAATAAATCGATATTTATGAAATTTAAAATTATAATATTAATTCGTATTCAGTCAAATATAAATAGAAAGTTGTTTCGGAAGAGTAAACTTTTTTTTTGTAATTTTGATAAATAAATTTTCATGATCTAACAAATGTTCTGTAGTTCATCCGGGCATTATTACTTGTTTTCTTTTACTGTAGAGTTATGTTTCCTTTTATATTCAGCTACAATGAGTCTTTCAACTCTAGCTTCCACAAAATCAAAGAAATTGTTCTCGTTGTAACGTTAAACAAAGAAAATCGAACGTCATTATTTTATATTTCTCGTCCAAATAGCCTTACCAAACTTTTAATTTTGATCATTTTGAACTTGCCAATTTCGATCAAAGTTAATATCATTGCAGTAATAATCCGTACATATATAAAAATAATAACGTCTGATCACTCTTCTCGTCCAATGTCGCAATGAGAAGAATTCAACCTACAGTTTATACAGTTTGCAATAAATGTCCGATCGAACACAAGAAACAGCGAAAAGGAGCTATGTAGTATCGAAAGTGTACATCATCGAATACATTTCCCGGAATGGATGTTACAGAGACGTCAGTCCGTAATCGGATTTTATCGCCAATGGCGGTACAGGAGCTGATACTTGCGACAATCCAGGAGGGCTAGTAGCCGGAGCGAGCGGACTGATACTTCCGGAACTTATGTGTCCCAACGGTCCTCCCGTCGGACCGTCCATCATTCCACCCACGTGATGATGAGTCAGCTGCGCTTGGATTTGAGCCAGAGAATGAGGGTGACCTTGAAAGCTTGGATGAACCACGGGAGGAGGAAGAGCGGTGCTGACCCCATGAACTTCGCCCATATCGTGACCGATGTTTGAGTCCAGGCTGTTCTCCATCCCGCTGGAGGGCGAATTATTGTTTTTCCTTTGGCTGTTATTGTTACCCGTGCCGGACTTTGCCCGTGTCGTCGAGGTCTTCGACGGCTTCGTTGCTGGCGGTGCCTGGCCGTTCGCGTTCTTCCTGCGCACGTTCTTCGTGTTTGGCAGCTTGTTGTCTTTCTTCCATTTCATACGCCGGTTCTGAAACCAGATTTTGATCTGTCGCTCCGACAGGACCAAATTGTGAGCGATCTCGATTCGTCGTCGTCTCGTCAGGTACCTATTGAAGTGGAATTCCTTTTCCAGTTCGAGTATCTGATGCCTCGTATAGGCAGTTCTCTGTCGCTTTGGCTCCATTCCAGGTGTGTACGAACCGTTAGCTGTAAGGACAGAACAAAAATCGCCATATGAAACTATAAATTATGGCAAATTCCAATATAAAAAGGTACTATTTTATTCTTTATCTAAAAAAAATGTAGCTATGCAAAAATGTGACTCTTTTAACATGTGTGTGAGCTGTATTTAAAAAACGAATTTGTTTTACAACTTGGAATTTTTCTTAACACAAGAATTTGACTGAACTTTATTTTCAATAAGAGATTAATTATATATTACACTATTATAAATGGTCAAATATTATATAAATATAATAATTTTTAGATTTTTAAATTTCTTTCTTAATTTATACTATATCAAATTAATTTAAATGTATATAATTTGTGTTATTCATTTATAAATATTTTAATCTTTATTATATATTAAGCTATATCAAATTTTTAATATTTGCAACAAAACACCCATTTTTGAAACCTATTGACATTTTTACGCATTTTCACTAAAAAAAGAAACATTAAATTTTTCACAGATTTTATCTTCAAGAAATGAGATCCATATATTACGCAATGTTTCTCCTATGTTTGAAATTATATGAACTAATTTATTAAACTTAAATTTTTGATTTTTTGAAGTACACATACATACACACACATAATAAGCAATTAAAAAAATCTCAATGTAATTAATATTTTATAGACATCACAACAATGAATAACTTTTCACGAATTAAACTTCAAAGATAAAAATGACCAACAAAATTTTGTCAATTATACGATATGTATAATTTCATATAAATGATTTTTGAACAAAATTGTAATTATATAGATTCACTTATTAATTATAAATGTATATATTATATATGATGTTTATAAGAGATCTTACGCTTGATACTATTAATAATACTATTAAAATTGCATGTTTGCAAATACAACCATAAGAAATTTCTATCACTTTTGCTATTTTTGCTATGCAGAGAACATTTTCATTTTTTTCACTTTTACCTAAAACTAATCATTTCCATTCTTCTTAATATTCTCGCCGACATTCTTATTATTAGCTCGATACAGTATTGCAAATAAATCTTAAGAATGGTCTCCCTCGATGCGTTTTATTGTATCGTTATTATGTTCACTAAAATTTCTTTGAGACTTTCTTCCTACGCACTTTATATGTTCATTCACAAAAACCTAGCGTTAAGTTGTGTGAAAAAAAGGTCCAATCTCAGGTGTTCCTTTTGAAAATCTTTCTTTAGGTCGTTAAAATATTATGCCATATAATGAATGTTTGAACGGTGGCAGAACCATATACTATTTAAATAACGAAAGAAAAGGAATTTGTTACTTCGTGCATATAATTATTACCGTAATTATTAAATATCTCTCTCTTCTGCGTGATATCTACATTGATATCTACCGAGATATTATATGCATATAACATTTTTTACTATATGACCACGTCATGGCCATGTTTTGAATAGCATCAAAGTCAGCTGAAGTGACTTTTGTAATCTGATCAATCCGCGAGATACGCCAATCGAGTTGCGGAGGCAGAATACGCATATGCAAATTCACAAGGATAAAAAGTGCCAAGCGTACACATATGCGCGCATTGGTCCTGTTAAGTAGCATTTAAAGAAAAAAATATACAGAAACAATAGATTAGTCTTTACGCAATTCACGGGTTAGTTTCAAGATCAAATGATTCGATTGTTTCGTCGAACGTGTTCGCGAAGTTTTTCAGGGTCTATTAGGAGTAGATAACAGGCTGATACAATCTTGATTAATGTTTGACGTAAATATATATTTAAAAACGAAGATTAGACGCAAATATTCATAATAAACTATAAAATGTCCAAAGTACTCTCGGAAACAATCGGATACTATCGAAACACGAAACGAACGACTGAACGATCGGATTGGAAGGAAAAAAGAATGTATCCAAACTGTGTGCCACACGTTGATATTAATATTCATGAGTCATGCTAGTAGCAGTCCATGGTGGTCCGCTCAATTTCGATAGAGGAAACATGGGAACAAGTTCAGTCTAGAATCCGTGCAGACACATTCCATTCCGAGCTGACCGTCGGTCTCGCGGAGGCCCCTTTCAACTCCGACGTCCGGCAACCATACTTCGACAACCAAAGGGGAGAGATTGCAGTCTCTGACAGCCCGACGGACGAGCATACCGAAGTTCAGAGATTTCAAATATTAAATCGCACGACGCGCAGCGTAATGGAAAATGTAATGTCGTATGTTTGAAAAAAAAAACATTTTAATGTAGCAACTAAAGATAGTTAAATATATATTTTTATCATTTGTATATGTGTACTAGAGGTTTTTCCGAAATTTCGCGAAAGAAATAGTTCAGTTTCTCTTCATTTGTATGTCACATCTTAAATTGTGTGAATTTTTCACATAATAATTGTTGAATGATTAAATTCTTATAAATGTGTTTATTAAGATCATTCTTTTAGAATTATTTACTCTGTAATTTTATATAAGGTTTCATATTATCAGCAAATTATTTTTGAGATACTTTCACTAATTTTCTGTCAGAATAAAATTGTTGCAAGTTCTTTTCTTTATTTTTAATTTCTTACACATTATAAACACTATTAAATTTCCAATTACATAGATAATATGTATATGAGATTATATATGTAATATCGGAGACTTTCATGTACAATATTCAAAATTGAATGGAATTTTCAATAAAATAATATTTTTCCTTCAATTGTCTTATTGCATAATATTTTAATTTGCGTTTGTAATAAAAAAATATATAATATAAAAATTTTAATATTATATATAAAATTTTTTACGTTGATTTTCAAGGATTCCTAAAATAAAAATTTTTATTGCAGGCAGTTTTTTTCTGAAAGAATTCATTATAATATTCGGTTTTATAGTACGGTGTAGAATCTTTTTTATTGTATCATGTACAGCGGTCTCGAAAGAAATACTTGCAAGCTGGAATGAGCAGCACTTTTCGAGATCGAGCGGAATAGAAATTTTTATAGCAGCAAAGCTAGTCTAATTTTGAGGGAATATTACGTTGCAAAAAACTACCTTTGTGGGAATTCTTTATATATCCCTGATAAATATATAATTTTTTTTCTCTCTGGCTTTTAGCTACGTCATATATGTACATACATAAATATGACAAACCCTGGAAATGAGCGCATAACAGATACGATGCTCTCAATCTTTATAATTTGTAGAACATTAATTAATACACCTACATACTGTAGTTACGTTCAAAATCGTCTTTTCATCTCTATGAGGAAACACGCGTATATTAGTTCTGGAAGTAATTGTCTGATTAATTATGAGAGAAGAACTACATTCGCTTTAATTGCCTTAATTATAACAGCCGGCAGCGTTATACCATCACCGGCAATATCTAATTCCATGTCTTGAGTACCATCAACTTTTCCATCTACTCTAAAACATGCGATGGAAAATCTATCTGTGTCGAATCTCGAAATTTATGTATTATTGACCGCACCAGTGAATAGTGTTGCGACTTCCCATTCTTATGGTATTCGCTACTGTATGAAAGATGAAGATATATTAGGCGTAACCGAATTCACCTATAAAATGAGGTGCTGCTGAAACCTCACACACAGGTGATCAACAAGGTGCAGCGATAAATTTTCAGCCCATAAGTCTTCGAGCCGTTCTAAAGCGCCGTAAGCACCTTGCGCGAATATAATGTATTGTATATATCCATTAAATACACAAACGGAGATACTTTCGACAGGTGTGTGCATCTGCCGGGGATCCAGAAAAACAAATTTACTATTAAAATCTGCACACTTCCGCATTATGTACAAGTATTTTTTTCAAGTATACGAATATTTGTCGCATGTTTTATTTAAATAAGATTAATCAGTGAACAACAATGGTAAATTATGATAAATATTTAGTTTTATTTATTTATTTTTATTTGATTAAGAAGAATAATTGGAGAATCGAAGACAGACGATATTTTAATATTTAATTTATAGTAATATTTCATGAATTATAATTATATGTAATAAATTCTACATTATGCGCGACACAGTTATATCGTCAAGCCGTCGGACATTTTCACAACGATTAATTATACTCTTTGCAATCAAAATACAATCAAATAACGAAATGTAAATATATAATTTATAAATTATTTGTTGACTAGATGATAGTTTCAAATTTGAAAACGAATTATAATTATAAAGTGTCCCAGAATTCATAAAATAGAGAGGCATATTCTACAGGTAAATAGAAAATAAAATTGTCTTATATATATATTATCTAAACTTGGAATTCAAATTTTATACAAATTGATTTATATATCCATGTGCGTTTTATTGTTGTCAAAAATTATCTAACAAAATTTTGAAGGAAGTTTTAAGAGGAAGAGTGTAGCTTATAGAAGAAGTGCGTTTCCGGACATATATATATTTATAAGACAATTTTACTTTTTTTTAATCTGTAGAATATGCCTCTCTAAAAATTAATTTGCTCAATAACCGACACAAAAGACATCGCGTTAGTCTTCTACAGCCGACATATTGTAAAATTGTATGTCTATTCTAATAAAATAATGTATTTAATAATAATCACAGAATCTTTCTCTCTAATAATAATGTAAAAAAGGTAAGAACAATATATTGTGACGTGTATGGGTAATTTTGAACGTAGCAGAATAGCAGAAAATAGCGAAAATAATTGCAAATTTATATATTTTCACTCACCGACGCCCGCAACATGAATCTTCTTCATCCATGGGTAAATAGTGCGTTCTCTGGTCTCATCATCATCTTCTTCTTCCTCCATCATACCCGGTGAACCCTCCTGACCGTCTCCTGACATGTCATCTGGATCCGAGCTATCATCTACATGATGCTGTTGTTGTTGTTGCGGGGTCTGTTGTTGACCACCCTGTATATGTTGAGATGGCTGAGACAATGACTGTTGCGTCTGAAGATCGGGCGAATTATCTCGGTGCAACTGACCCGAGCCGGCCGGACTGCAGGCATTGTTCTCATGTTGTTGATGATGCTGAAGAGTATCTGGCTGTTGCACATGATTCTGCATTATAGACGGGGACAGAGGCGTGGATCCAAGAATAGTTGACGTAGGTACGGATGGTTGTTGGTGTTGCGGTTGCTGCTGTTGCTGCTGTTGACTTTGTATCGACGACGGACACGTGAGCGGCGGCTGCTGGGCTTCCGGCGGCATCGCTAAAGCACCCACCGCGTGATGATGAGGATGTAGACTTGGATGATGCACCGCGTGCACTTGGTGATGAGGGTGATGAGGGCCGTAATATCCTCCGTAGCTCGCGTATCCTCCATTTAATTGTACCGCCGAGGAAGCACCATAAGGAGTTGACGCTGCCTGATGATGATGCTGATGATAGCCGTACTGTAGTTGAGATTGCGGATGGCTCAAGTGGTGACTGCTACTACCACTCGAGAAAAAGTCTGCGCCAGTCGAAGGTATATAATTATTCTGGCTATATTCTTCGCTGGGGGGAAACTTCGGGTCAACCATAACGGAAGTGGTGGCTAAATGATGATTTCCAGCCTGTTGCTGATGCTGATGATGGTGATGATATCCACCGGCGGCGGATGGATTCATCAGGAAGGAACTCATGTTTGTGGAGCACTTTCTTGCGAAAAACACACACACACACGCACGCACGATAGTCCAGATGAATCTTAAACGACTGCACTTCGCGATTTTACCCTCTTATCTGACCCTCCGCATCAGTTCGCCGATTTGATGCACCATTTCATATTAATATTCATCATTCTCACAAGCTTACACTGCACCGCACTGCGCTGTGGTCCATCGTCCACACCTTGCCGCCTCTTGCGAAAAGGGGTGACGTTTTCTCGAAAGGAGGAAAAAAAGAGAAAGAAGGAGAGGGAGGAAAAGAGAAAAGAAATGGAAAGAGCGGGGCTACAACGAGCACAGGACTCCCGGTGGACAGCTGCTTATTCTCTCCTCTCCTTCCGCCACTTTCGCGATCCTCCACGACCTCGTTCGCTCCTTCCCGCCCACCGGAGCCCAATTACCATACCACGTGACCACAAAACCGACCAATCGGAGCTGTTCCTAGTCCGCGACCATGATGGATAACCACGGCACGCATGCAACACGTGAGTGGCGCCACGAAACCCAGTGTGGCAGGTGTAGCAACTTCTTGTTTCGCTTCTCTATTTCACTGTCATCGAATTCCACGTATATTCACAGTTTATTAATTTCTAACGCATTGTCAAACTCCTCATTCACCTTTTTCTCAATAATACGTACTTGTTTCTCTCATAAACTTCACTTTTTATTCCACACCATTGATCTGCAATAAGTATCAAAGCTGATACCTCTGCGAACTACTCTGACGAAGTAAACAACTCGGTACCAATCATATTTTTATGAATAAATGACTAAACGTCAATTTGTTCTGTACACTACACTTCTATCACTGCTATGTCTTGTGCAAAATAATCTTCTTCGTATGTATACAGAGATGAACGAAGCGGACGGAGCCTCTCGTCGGAGAGAAAGAGAGACTCGAAAGTGAGCTCGTCCTACCTCGGTAGAAACTCGTCTGGCAACTCTGGTTTGCTTCCAACTCCCTCCAGCTCTGTTCGCGCCGGCTGGCTTTGAGCCGATGCGGAGAGCCGCGTCCCCTCTTCCCGTCATGCGTCTCTCCAGAGTCACCCCCACTCTGTAACGGCATGAGACCAACCCCTGCCACGGAAACAGTGGATCTTGTGCCCTTATGGGGCATACTCGAGGGTACGTATAACCGTGGAGTCACTCCTACGTATCCCCTTAACCCGCCTCCGTGCCTCGGAAATCCATCTTATGGCCGGAGTCAATGCTGAGAGAAACGGTGGCAATGAACGTTAATGCTGTTGATATTGAATACTACGGCGAAGGTAATCGCGCCACTAATTCAGAACTATTTGTCGTGACCAGCAGGTGTTACCGCATAACCGCCCATTACACCTCTATTTGTCAATATTGTACAAAACAGGGGTGTTAATTGATTCACTGTATAATAGACATGTCTCTTTTATGTTACATTAAGATGACAAATTTAATGACCGAAGTTGCGATTAGCGAAATATATTTGTCATCGATATCGTTCTTTTGAGAAGCGAGTAAGTAAATATTTCCTACACGTCAAGTACAAATTAGACACGAGTGTGTTTATGATAAAGTAATAATAAGATTCTCGGATGAAAAAAAAAATAGTGTATATTATTGTCGAAAGTCATCTCATCTTTGTGAGACTCTTTGTGAGTAACCGGCATTCGAGCTTAAAAATGTTACGTAAGACGAGTTGAAATTGGCTAAATTAATAGTAATAGATCCGCCGTTCGATTACACTCTGCTCATATTAATGCACTGGTGTCTCGGCGTACTCGGTCAAGTACGTCTACTCGCGATCAGCTGCGTGGCATAGAGAATATAAAACGCCGAGTCATTACACAAAGAGCATACTCACTGTGTTTTGCTTTGGTACGACAATACAGCACGGTAAATTTAAGTTACGTTGACTGTGCGCCTATATAAACGATTCAGGAAATAACAGTATCGAAATATTGTGGAACGGTATTGTAGAACAAAGACGAGCTTAAGAATCATCGCGTGAGGGATTAACTATATTTTATGTACAAATAACACAAAAGTGTCTTTTATATCATTATCAAAAGCCTTTCGATTTTTTTCCAGCTTGTTAGATATTCATCAAATGCAAGAGAAATGAAAATAATTCAAGATTGAATGATTGAGGAAGAGCTCTGAAGAGCTTATAGCTCCGTTTTTTACCCCATACATATATCTCTTTTTCTCTTTCGAGTTAGTTTTTCGTTTACTCGGATATGCCGCGGCTTATTTCTATTTTTCTTATGGCCACTTCATGTCGCTCCAAGCAGAAGAGCGGAGCTTTGAGTGGAATCTGGGAGAGTCCAGAGGGGTTGAAGGGGTCGCGCGCTGAATGACGTAGAAGAGGCTAGAAGGGGGTTGTCTCCTCGTTTTGCGACACAACCTCCTCGTCTTTATCACCGACGACGCTCGGAAACTTCTGTCCTTCTCTCTTTCCTCTCGTCCACCGCCATCTTACGCCATCTCTACTTTCGTCGTCTCGCTCCTTTCCTCCGATTCTGCCCCGAGTCTTCTGCTCTTGTCTTCCGGCGAAACACGATCAATCACTTTTCCCGGTCCGCCGGCATGACACCCCCTTTACACCCACGGCTATCCTCGAAGAGGGCCTGCTTCGTCAACGACGAGTCCTTTTGGCTACCGGACGAATGTGTGATCTTCCAAGTGACGATTATCGTGAGATCGCACACGTGGGTCTGTCATATCGTCTCATGAATTTTGTTGTCTCATATAGAGTATTGTCAATCTTTCGACACGAGCTTTGTATTAACGAAAGAAACGTATAGAAATATATATTAAATATTTTTAATCACAAATTTTGAAGTAGCGAATCAATTATATTATATTACTTGACAATCTATTTGTTGAAATTTTACGTAGAAAACTCGTTTACGATCGAACATTGTTTCGACGGTCCGGAGTAAATGTCAAAATGACAATGCACTCTTTAAGCAATTCGTCTTAAACTATATACTATGCTATCTCTCTATAAAAACTCGCTTGGCAGAAATTCTTCGTGGATTCAAGATTTAAAGAGTTCAACGGACTTGCATTGTGATAATGATAAATGAGGACGAAACAGTTTACGATTTAATATCAATCTTGGCCGAGGCTGGTGCTTATTATTACCCATTAGTAAAGTTTTAATAACGCAATACGGTGCTCGGCCTGAGGGGGGGTGGAACCGTTGCGATTTATCATTTTCATCGCTTTATTAACGGCGTTTCAGTTATATTCAACTTGTTGATCGCTTATGAAAGAGGAGCATCGTCTCTGATATTGAAGCTGCGCGAATTTGCGTTTCCGGGATTATTTTTAGCGAGGCCCGAGCTGATTAATCGTCTCAACCGAAGGTAGAAAACTGCAGAGAAGATATTTCGAGGAGAACCGGGTCACCTATATAATAGAAAATTAAAAACCATTTTTAAATATCTTTGATTTAGAAGAGCATGTATTTTTTTCAATTATCATAAAAAAAAATTTGCGCTTAAGAGGAGAAAAAATAAATAAATATATGCATATTATCGAATAATTGAACATTGCAAGCAAAATCATGATTAAAATGATTTTCAGATAGATCATTCACAATAGATCAAATAGATCAAACCTCTATTATAATCTTATGGGAATCATCGATCGATAATATTTATTTCGAAATTCAAAGTATATATATTCCAAATATTTATGAATCAATACAATTTACCACAATAGAATCATATGATCGATAGATCTTTCGGGGGAAATCACGCACGATACAATTTCACGCGTAACGTTTTACAGATTTTGAAATTTAGAAAATGCGAATGTTTCTCGCATTCGTTGTAGCTTAAGGTGTTGGCAGCGGATCTGTCCGAGGTGAGAAACATGAGTCTCTGGAGATTCGATTTCGCTGCTGAGTCACGATCTCGAGCTTGCCGACATGAAAAGGGGTCCATGTCCCCTTAGGGACATCCAGTATACATCTGATGCCTTAGATATCCCGAACGGTTTTCAAGACTGTTCCTTTATCCGTGTGCGCTCAGCTAAACAACATAAAAATATGCATAGAATATTTTTGCAACTTTGTAATTCTTTGTCCTCTATGCGCATAAAAATTATAAGTAAAAGTTTCTTTAATCGTAGAAAAAAATAGAAGAAGACGTCTCACACGGGACAATACTTTGCAATTAAAATACAAACGTTATAATCTCGACTTTCTTGAAAGGTCATTTATTTAGCCGCGTCGAATAAAAAAAAAACAATTTATTAAAGGAGGAAATGTGTTTTCGTCAAAAATGTAAAAAGCACCGCGTGCAAGGCGATGATAACTCGGCAATGACGGCAAAGTCACGTTGACGGCAATGAACATGACATCTTTCATCAAGCAACTGGACGAATGCCCCAAGTTCGACGTCTGAAGCAGGCGGTGTGAGTGAAAGTGTCAGCTGTAAGTCGTTTCTTGGCCAACAGTAGTAGCCCCACTTATTACAAGATGAGCAGAAGATGAGGAGGAATCAGTAGAGGCGCGATAATTATCGGCCGGGCATTACGGTAAAGATGTTAACGCGACCTTCGATCCGTAACCTCCTCACCGGACAATTACCACCTGACACTGACTGCTTGAAAGCAATTTGCGCATACGGCGCACTTTTCCAGCTTCCTTGAAAAGATAGTGCAGCGACGATGAAAAAGTTCTCGCGCGCCCGTTTATCCGCGTGAAGAGGCCGCAAAAGTGGCTCGTTATCTTTGCAATTCCAAGTGTCGTTAGCGCCAATCCCTCTTGACAATCTTGACACTCTTCCTCAAACAAATCCGGGGTCAGCCAACGATGAATGTATCATAATGTGCCGCGGTGTTTGAACACAGGCGCGAGCAAAATTATGAAAAAAATTAGAAAAAGTGTGTGCCTAGTGCAATAACAAGCGATAATATTTGCCGAGAACTAAGATGCACATTCATCATCATTATGCTAATAGCAATATAATTAATGCTACAATACGTATATGTTATACCTTGACTCATTTTTATTATTAGATCTACGTGTAGTATATAATAATTCTTTCTTTTTCTGCATTCTGCGTCAATTTGAAAATTTTCACTTGTATAAAATTTTATGGCAAACGAGTTCTTGGAAAATGTCTTCGCGCGATGTTGTGAATAATGATGATGACGGATATGCGTATCCTGCGTATCGCTAGTCGTTTTATTTGAAGTAACAGTAGCGGCAGCAGCACCGCTTACTCGAGGATTTATAACGCGAATATTTTGCACGTTCAAGGATGCTGTTGATTACTGCTTTGAAGCATGAGAAGGAAAGAAGAAGGAGGTAACGAGGTTAAGGTCGTTTACCATCCATGACCTCGGCAATTACCATATTCGACACCCTTCGTCTTCGTTTGAAAAGTAGTTTGCATACATTGAGAATGTTTCGGCATTGTTAGGAAAGGATAGGATCCGACCCTTTTAGTCGCTACACGATGCCCCAGGAACCATGTTGTCGCTAATTGTTTCAAAACGGTTTGGGTGGGATTTTAAATATTTTGAAATATTTTTCTCACCCCAAAACATCTGACTTTTCCGTCGAATTTTTGCGAACAGAAGCAAAATAAAATAAAATAACAAATAATAATATAAGCATAAAACAATAGTAGACCAAATAATAATAATAATAATGCATGCACAAAAATAAATCAAAAGATATAAAAATTAAATACTAATTTTATTGTTTAAGAAATTATAAAATTATTACAACAAATATATTTAAAAAACATTTTTTTAAAATAAAATCATACACTCTATATATGACACGATAATTCTTTTATTTTTAAAAGAAGAAATATATACAAGAATGAAATATCTTGTAATTTTTTTCTACCCTTTCTCATATACTAGACTAGAGTCTCACGACTAATATTCATTGTGACCTACTGCTTTAAAAACGCACACCTTTCTGAAAACCAAGGAATAGCACTCTGGAAAAG